TCCTTCACCAGCAGTGTCATGTGGTCAATGGATATTTCAGAATGAATATTTTGGCTGCAAGGCATGATCAGGTCATCCTTCCATCCTTCACCTCACCTACAGAACCAGAGCATCCCCCCTTACCAGGAAAAAACTGTCACGTGATTTCAATGAGCATAAAGTAGATTTTGGTGCAATGTTCATGTTCCGGTGGAGCCGCATTGGATATATAAATATATTCACCTAATAAAAAGAGGAAAAATAATTTCTAATTGTAGAAACTTTTAGTACAAACCGTCATAAAAAATAAAGGAAATCTGCAGGGGCGTCCCGAGGCTGGGTGACACCCGGAGCGGTAACTGAGTGTCACCCTGCCGAGACGTCACTGCGCACGCGCGGCAGTATTCTGATACCTGCTGGCGGCCATCTTGGTGATGGACACCAGCAGAGAGAGGAGGTACCAGTCACCCGGCGGGATAAGGTACGCCGCCGGGTCCCCTCCTCTCTCCTGATACTGTCGGGCGTTCGGTCCATGACCAAGCACCCGACTTTTCAGAGGGGGGTGACACCAAAATGACTGTGAGTCACTTTGGTGTCACTCCTCCAATGGTGTCACCCGGGTGCAGGCCGGATGGATGGATATTAGAGTTGAGGGTTTTAAAGGAGAACTATGGGGTTAAGGCTTTTCCCCATAGTTCTCCTTAGGGTAACGGGAGGACACAAACTAGCGTCCTCCCGTCACCCTAAGCTCAGTATATAGGGAGCTACAGCTCGCGGTATACTGAGACGACGCAGCTGAAGCGGATCCCGACATCGATGCCGAGATCCGCCCAGCTGCGTGAGTGACAGCTGGCTCTGCCTATCTAGAGGCTGTACCCGCCCCCTCCACCATCCATTCCGCCAGTCATGCTGGAGGATTGGAGCGGAGAGGGGGGAATCCAGCCCCTCCACTGTCACGGCAGAGAGCTGTGACAGGATCGAGAGGTGAGCGAACGCCGGCATCACCTCCCGATCTACTGAGCCAACCTGTGACAGTCTCATTGTCACAGGTCGGCTAGAACTATGAGGTGAGTGACAAGCCCCTCCCCCCTCATAGTTCTCCTTTAAACTGTTTCCCATGCTGAGTAAATCACTTACAATGGACGCTGCTCCTCGATGTGTAGAGGTAGGGACGCACCGATGCCGGGATTTCGGTTTTCGAGTACCGATATTTTTTTCCCGGTGCTCGCCAATACTGAATACCGGAAGTCCCATTCAGGAAGCCAGACGGCATGTAATGACTCGCCACCCGGCTTCCCGATTAGCAGGGAAGTCGTCCCCATGCTTCTTGTCACTGGGTGATGAGAAAGCATGGAGCCGGCTTTCTGGCCAATCAGGAATCCGGGCGCCGTGTAGTGGCGCGCTGAGGTGACAAGGGAGCATGAAGCCGGCTTCCCGGGCCAATCAAAGAGCCGGGTGACGCGTCATTACACAGCACCCGGCTTCTTGATTGGCCAGCTTCCCGACCAATCAGGAACCTGGGCAGCGAGTCCACAAGTGACGCAAGGGAGCACGGAGCCGGCTTCCCGGCCAATCAGGAAGCCGGGCAGCGTGTAATTACTCACTGCCCGGCTTCCTGATACCGGAAGTATCGGGCTAGGCATCGGAGCATTTGTACTTCTGTTACAATCCAATAAACCTTTTGTAAAGAAAAGCTTTAGTGATCTGCACAATCAGCGTGTCCCCTTGTGCACTGATATCCTGTTTTAGGGGGGCTCCTTTCCTTTGCAGGGTCCTATGGAGTCTCCCTCCATAAACACACAGGCACAGCAAGGCAAACTACCTCCCCTGCTCCCTGATCCCCTCTCCTCCCTTCTCCAAGCTAGTAGATGGACGGCTGCTGGAGACTACTCTATGCTTTGTGCTGGACAGGAAGTTTGGGGAAGCTGAGCTGAGAGAGTTGGAGCTGTTCAGAAACGCGGTGACTTTAAACGTTTGGGCTACAATGCATAGAAACGCTTTGCTGGGCGATGGTACGCTCTAAGGTTGATTGTCTAATTGTATACAATCTTAGAAGGGGGGACAATTAGTGGTGTGTGTGTATTAAAATAGATTTCTGATTATGGTAATTTTGTTGCAGATTTGGGAGGGGGGCTGCTGCAAGGGAACATTAAATACGGGTATTTCGTCTCGGGGACCTGTCTACCATATATTGTTTTTAATATATTGTTTTGATAACGCAAAGAAATAGTTAAAAATGAGATTTGGGGAGGATCTCAATGGGAATAAAAAATTAACACATGAATAATGAGCTATAATAGATGAATAAAAACTAAAGGTTTTAAAAATATGAGTATAAAAATAGACAAAATTTATTAAAACGAGTATTTAAAACGAATGTTTGCACGAATGATGAAAAAGATGCTTAAAAAGGTTATCATGGGAACGCGTGGCTCATACTGATATGTGAAAGAGCGTAACGCAATTTAAACTGAGGCTGAGTTCGTGGAGGGGAACATCGGGTATGTGGGGGACCGATTGGTCTGCGTATTCAGGGCGTAGTGGGTGGGCATCGTTTATAGAATGGTCAAAATTTCCAGTTCTTCATTTAGTCCCGTTGGAACAAGGGTATTCAGTTTGTATCTCCTCACCATCCCCTTATAATTACCAGGACGATCCGAGACGCTGAGCCGCCAATTTCCCGAATCCCCAACTCATCAGATTCCGCCACAAGTAATTATTGCACACAGTCTCTAAGAAGAGGAAACCAAACCAATAATTATATCAGATTGGTGTCCGCAGAGTTCCGGCTCCTCACCTGCTCCCGGCCCCCGGCTCCGGCAATGATCGGTATGCGATCTTCTATTTATAGGAGCGAGTGTTGGCTGAGAGGGAGCAGATTGGGAGACTTCAGTGTCCATGTGTTTCATGGCTGGAACCTTCAGATATGAATGATACAAATGAGGTAACACAATGGATTCGGGGGTCACGCTGAGCACACGGGGAACTTCAACCGAACCCTCGTCTCTCCGCACACACAGACTGCACATTGCACTAACATTGTCATCAACTTAGAGATAGCAAGAGAGAGCGAGAAGAGAGCGAGAGAGGGAGAGGGGGGGGAGAAAGAGAGAGACGGAGAGAGAGCGAGAGAGAGTGAGAGATAGCAAGAGAGAGCGAGAAGAGAGCGAGAAGACAGTGAGAAGAGAGAAAGTGAGAGAGAGAAGGAGAGAGAGAAGGACAGAGAGAGAGAGAAGGAGAGAGAAGGAGAGAGAGAAGGACAGAGAGAGAGAGAGAGAAGTAGAGAGAAGGAGAGAGAGGGAGAGAAGGAGAGAGAGAGAGCGAGAAGAGAGAGAGGAGAGAGAGAGTGAGGGGAGAGAGAGAGAGACAGAGAGAGAGAGACAGACAGAGAGAGAGGGGGGAGAGAGAGAGCGAGAGAGAGCTAGAAGAGAGAGAGAGAGAAACAGAGCGAGAGATAGTGAGAAGAGAGAGATAGAGCGAGAGAGAGAAACTATTTTTTTGCTTTTCATTTTTTAAATTTATACAAACTAAAAAAATTGCTGAGAAAGGGCAAAGTTCATTGTGTGACAGGACGGTGGTGTGTCACGATGGTGATTGGTGTGTTTGGTGCCCAGGACTCTCGGCCAGAGGTGCTGAGAGGGTGCAGAAAACATATCGTGTGACATCGAAGGAGCCGGGTTTCCAATCCTTTCCGGGTTTTCTGGAGTATAACTGGGATCTGGGTCTCGGGAGATTTCTAAAGGTGCCCATACACCTTACGATTATTGGACGAAACGTTTCGTCCGATGATCGAATAGTCGTACGATTTTCCGTACGGCAGCCCCATCCTGCCATGATGATCGCAAGATTAATTTAGCCGTAATTAACGAAAAGCACCTGGACGAAATGCGGTCATTGATTTGGCGTATTTTCATTCGTGCATGCGCAGTGTAGATCGTACGACTTTTGACGGACGGAAGCGCCAGCAACCTTACGACAATCGTACGATCGAGCAGAGTTTTCAAACACTCTTGACCGTCAAAAGTCGTCCGATTGTACAGTAATGTCGGTTCCGGCGCTCTATTCACACGTACGATTGTCGTTCGAAAATTCGATCGCATACGATTATCGTAAGGTGTATGGGCACCTTTAGAGTCTTGGGCGGGATGAAATCTCCAGTCCTCGGGCCAGGTGCAGCCAATTGTCAGGCCGGATTGGACTGATAACAGCCCCTATTAGGAGATGGGACAGAGAGGAAGGGGCAGTCAGTGGTGCGGGAGGACATGCAGAGCGTGGGAGACTGTGTGCATGTGACGCACGAGACACTGGGCTGGAGAGGCCGAGACGGCCTGTGGCACACGCGGTGTCGGGGCGAAGCTAGGAGGGTCTGTGGCACACGCGGTGTCGGGGCGAGGCTAGGAGGGTCTGTGGCACACGCGGTGTCGGGGCGAGGCTAGGAGGGTCTGTGGCACACGCGGTGTGTCTGGGAAGGTCGGGAGGACGGTTGTCACACAGGGAGGTGTGAAGCTGCTGGGTGTCCGGCCATGAGCAGGCTGAGGCTCTAACCCTGAGGTGGGACATGATACCGGTGCTGAGCCAAATCCAAACTAGTCAACTGCGTATCAGGGACTTTACTCCTCTCACCCTCCTCCCTGCCCAGCTCAGATCTCCCCCTGTACACCCCCCTATAGATCAGCACCATCCTCCCTGCCCAGCTCAGATCTCCCCCTATGCACCAGAGCAATTATTCCCCAATAACTATGCCAATACCTGAGATAACAAAGTATTACTCACAATATATCATTTTTAGGGGAAAAGGGTGTTTTGGGAATATTGTCTTCCATTTTTGCACTTTTTAATACAACGCTGAGACAATGGACTTTGACTCCCCTAAATAATGATGCGATTCTTGCTTCAGTGTGACAGAAGTCATCTCGGACCATATAATGATCTGACCTCCGAGTCTGTTATCTCCTTATAGGACGAGTTGGCTGCTCTCCATCTGGAACCTCCATATCACTAGGATCGTCTGAGTGGCCACCATGAGAAGACTCCTGCAGGTCCTCCTCGTATTCTCGTGTCTGGATGAGGGTCAGTCTGGCCCTGGCTGCAATCTCCAGAGTCGGCCGGTGGAAACCTTCTCACAATCCGGCGATGTTCTGATTGGTGGAATTGTTGAGGTTCATTCCGGAATCATTCTCCAACGACCAACTTTCCGGGAGAGGCCGAAGCCACGTTCATGTACGGGGTGAGTCCTGGAGGCAGCTGTCTGGTAGTGAAAGTGATGTTCATGAGGTTCATTTCTACTTGTGGTTCTATCTTCTGATGTGTGCAAGCTTGGAAACGTTACCATGTGCTCTGCTTATTGGACACCACAATATAAACACTTCACTCCAGGACGGCTAAAATACAGGTACTGAATGTTCTGGCAGATCACTGACCCCAGTACTGGATGTGTCACTGGATGTACCGCTCCTGTTACTTCTTATTCTTGTGTGTAATAATACAGGAGAACCCGTAATGACAGAAGATAAGGGACTCAGCATTGGTTGCATTCTATAAATCACTATCAAGTATTCTAATGGCCATTGTCACCTCTATAGCTCCACCCCCTTCCATTTCATAGCCAACTCTTCACCCATTTATAACCCTGTGTTGTTGTTGTTGTTTTAATTGTTCCCAAACTTTTTACAGATAGCTATCCTTTCCCATTTTATTTTTAACTCTTTCTCCCGGGACTATTCCTCCCCCCCCCAGTCATGTAGCCCCTCCGCTCAGTCTCTACGGGTCTGTCAGGAAATGGTACTGCTCGGACCTGAGGAAGGAAGTTCATTTCTCCAGAAAGTTGTCCTGAAACCTGAACTGTGCAAATGAAAAAAAGATCATCTACAGAACTCAGCTATGTTACAATGAAATACAAGTGACATAAATAGTCTTATAGTCAGGGAGGAAGACTCATTCTTACATTCAATAAGGGCTGGATTTCCCACATGGCCAACCAAGGCCCGGCCTCAGGGCAGCAGGGAGTAGGGGGGCGGCAGGGGTGTGGAATTCCTATCTCCTGATGCCCGGGACATGCAGTTTCGGGCGCCGGGCGGGTAGTTGTTCCCTACATTCAGCCCGGCTTTGGGCAACCAGAGCTCAATGTACAGCGGGGAAGCCTCCAATTGCTTTGTACAAGTGATCCCAGCAATGTCACCTAGATCACTTGTATGTAGCCCGCAGGTCTGCCATTCTCTATGGGGGAGGGGGAGTTGGCGGGTAGGGGGGCGCATTGAGGAACCTGGCCTTGGGGCAGCAAGAGGGAGTAAATCCGGCCCTGCATACAAGTTTTATTTCACCAGCCCGGGTTTGTAGTTTACAAGGCATGTTTGTACGATTCAGAAATCCATCATCAATAACCATGTATGACCAGGAAAGACGGAAAGCACCAGCTGATCATTCTCATACACGCCCAAAGCCATAAAGGAACTACATTCATAAAATGAGGGGAGAAGCAATGTATTGGGAAAAGAAAACCCAGTATACCCTAGAGCCGTGGTTCTGAACCTGTGGGTCGTGACCCAAAAGTGGGTTGCGACGCCATGTTCAGTGGGTCGCCGCATGCCTTCCACTTTTCTAGGTGAGAGGCTTCCCCTAATGCAGCACTGTCCATTCTCAAACCGAGCCGCCATTCAAAATATGCTGCCCAGCGCTGAGTGTCTACTTGAGCTGGGGTGGGCTGGGGGTATGGCCACGAGTGAGCTCCATCCATACGTGCATTGCTTATAGCTCCTTCGCATGTCCTGTAGAGGTGCCTGGACGGGAGTGAAGTCACATTCTGGCTCCCGGCACCTCTACAGGTGCGCATGGGAGCTGTACAAGCAATGCACAATTGGATGGAGCTCCTTCACAGCACCGCAGCCCACACTGCCCTGCATTCCATTGCAGTGCAACTTGGGTTGTGACTTAATGACCGAGGACAAATGTGGGTCCTGAGGTTACACAGGTTGAGAACCACTTGTCTAGAAGGACCATGTGTGTGGGGACATGGTGGATTGTAGCTTCACATTACCTCGTCAGTGTCACGATTTGGGGACCAGGGCACTGAGGCACATGAGCTCCGGGTATTGCGGAGCAGTATATAGTGTGGCATTGCGTGGCATTACCACGGTGATAGGTGGCCTCAAAGTCACCCAGGATTCTCAGCCAGAGGGGCTGAGTGGCTCCAGGAAGACATGACGTGTACCAGGAAAGAGCCGGCTTTTCAGTCCTTTCCGGGTTTTTCTGGATCCTAGTTGGGATCCTGGAGCCGGGAGATTTCTTAGAGCTCTGGGTGGGAGGAAATCTCCATTCCTGGGTCCGTGGGTTAGTAGCGACCAGCATCTAATTGTGCACCTGTGCACATCCCTCATGAAAGGGGGTGCTGGGATGTGTTCAGGGCCCCACCTGTGAGTCAGGAGAACCCAGGAGTCACAGTGGAGGCCGGAGCAGCGGGGAGCTGTGGGGTTGTGAAACCTATTGTGCGAGTTAGCACGTTACTGGGGTTGTCTGGAGGAACCAGACCGTGGCCCCGAGGATTGAGGCCGGAGCAGCAAGAGAAAACTGTTACATGACGGGGACACTGAGTGTGTGGGACAACTCGAGGATTGGTGAGCCCATATCTGTTATATGCTGCAGCAAGCTATTTATGTTGGACTTCCTTTACTGTCTGCCTTTTGAAAGAAAATAAAGACTTTTTGTTAATGGAAAAGTCTGTGCGAGTGCTCTGTGAGCTCCCCAACATTACAATAGGGACTGGATTAGGAATGTGCAGGGATACGGGTCTCTGAGCAGGGACAGTGTGACCGCACAACAAACGCAGGTGTGCCGAGGTCGCAGGATCTAAGGAGCCGCCTGGCCTTCCCCAGAGCCACTGATGGTGTGGATGTTGAGCTGCGGGGCAGCTCCCAGGTTGCGGCTCTCTGACACACCGTGCGGGCACAGTGCCAGCGGGTACTCAGGGACCACAGCACACTGGATTCAAGGAGCAAACGGGATGCAAGGTACAAAAAGAGGCATCAGAGGGAAGACGCAGGGAACATGCATGACACAGGAAGCAGAAACAGAAGGGAACACACAACAGGTGTACCCACAGAGATAAGAGATACACAGGAACAGCGGAGGGGAACGCACTAAGAGAAAGGAGGAAGGCGCACTATAGTGCAGAGCACACTAGCCGCGGGAGCAGAAGGTAAACCACAACACGGATACACTGGAGGGAAGCTGCATGGAACCAAGCAGCCACACAAGAGGAAGGCAGGCGATCAGGTAGTGCAGGTGTAGGCGCTGACTGAGGAGGGGATTACCTTCCACTAGCAGGACAAGCAGAAGCTCACCGGGAGCACGAGGAATGAAGGCTGACACTGGAAACATGTATCGCAGGGAACAAGCACACAAGGAATGGTGCAAGTACAGGCAGGCAAGGATACTGAGACTACACAACATGGAACTAAAGGCACGCTAGGTGATATGCAGGGGGGGGGGGGGGGGGGGAGGGGAGCAAAAAAAAATA